GCTCTCGTTCTCTCGCTCTCGTTCTCTCGCTCTCGTTCTCTCGCTCTAAATCTCTCTCTAAATCCCTTTTTTTCTCTTTCTCTGTTTTTCTTGGTGCCTCAGGTCATCTTAACTTCTCAAATTGCCAAAGTGCATTATTATGAATCTATTATTAGGAATTTCTGTCCACCTACTGCACGGAGCTCTGCCAGTGTCTTTCTTTATACCTTTCTTTCAGCAGCATTTATGGATGGATTATTGACGAGGCCTTTTTGCTCCTTAAAAAAATTAACTTATTCCAAAATGCCTATAAGACATTGAGTTCTTTGTCTAAACCATGGGTTGAAAAACCAACCCTTCATGTAATTGATTTGCCATTAATTTTTCGAGCTATGAATAGACTTTCTGTCCTTGATAAACTATTCTTTCATTCCTTATCGCATCTCCCTGACTAGTTACAAGCTCTTGAAACATTCTGTCTCTGGTCTTCAGAATTAATTTGCAGGAGTTCCGTTGCTTCTCATTTTTTCCACCAGGAATTATTTAAGCCTAAGACTGATTGTCAGGCCCTTTCACCAGCTGTTCATAATAGCTATTCAGTTCAGTTATAGAGTCATAGAGGTATACGGCACGGAAACAGACCCTTCGGTCCAACTTGTCCATGCCATTCAGATATCCTAAATAAATCTAGTCCCGTTTACCAGCATTTGGCCCATATCCCTCTAAACCCTTCCTATTCATATACCCATCCAGATGCCTTTTAAATGTTGTAATCATACCAGCCTCCACCACTTCCTCTGGCAGCTCATTCCATACATGCATCACCCTGTGCATGATAAAGTCGTCCCTTTTAGGTCCTTTTTATTTCTTTCCCCTCTCACCTTAAACCTATGCCCTCTAGTTTTGGACTCCCCAACCCCAGGGAAAGGACCTTGCCTATTTACCCTATCCATGACCCTCATGATTTTATAAACCTGTATAAGGTCGCCCCTCGACTGCCAATATTCCAGGGAAAATGGCCCCTGTCTATTCAGCCTCTCCCTATATCGCAAACCCTCCAACCCTGGCAACATCCTCGTAAATCTTTTCTGAACCCTTTCAAGTTTCACAACATCATTCCTATAGGAGGGAGATCAGAATTGCACACAACACTCCAAAATTGGCCTCACCAATGTCCTGTACAGCCGCAACATGACCTCCTAACTCCTATACTCAATGCACTAATTAATGAAGCAAGCATACCAAATGCTTTCTTCACTAACCTATCTACCTGCAATTCCACTTTCAAGGAATTATGAACCCGCACTCTAAGGTCTCTTTGTTCAGCAATGCTCCCCAGGACCTTATCATTAAGTGTACAAGTCCTGCCCTTATTTGTCTTTCCTAAATGCAGCACCTCACATTTATCTAAATTGAACTTCATTTGCCAGTCCTCAGCCCAGTAGACCATCTGATCAAGATCCCTTTGTACTCTGAGGTAATCTTCTTTGCTGTCCACTACATCTCCAATTTTAGTGTCATCTGCAAGCTTACTAATCATACCTCCTATGTTCGCATCCAAATCATTTATATAAATGACTAAAAGCAGTGGATCCAGCACCGATCCTTGTGGCACACCACTAGTCACAGGCCTCCAGTCTGAAAAGCAGCCCTCCACCACCACCCTTTGACTTCTACCTTTGAGCCAGTTCTTATCCAGATAGCTAGTTCTCCCTGTATTCCACATGATCTAGAACAAAAACAAAGTTGCTGGAAAAGCTCAGCGGGTCTGGCAGCATCTGTGAGTTCTGAGGAAGAGTCACCGGACCCGAAACGTTAACTCTGTTTTCTCCTTCACAGATGCTCAAAACAACTTTGTTTTTGTTCTTGATTTACATCATCTGCAGTTCTTTTGGTTTCCACATGATCTAACCTTGCTAACCAGTCTATCACAAGGAATCTTGTCAAACGCCTTACTGAAGTCCATATAGATCACGTCCACCGCTCTGCTCTTAAATCCTCTTCATTACTTCTTCAAAAAACTCCATTAAGTTAGAGAGATATGACTTCCCTCACACAAAGCCACGTTGACGATCCCTAATCGGTCCTTGCCTTTCCAAATACATATAGATCCTGTTCCTCAGGATTCCCTCCAACAACTTGCCCATCACTGATGTCAGGCTCACCAGTCTATAGTTCCCTGGCTTCACTTTACCACCTTTCTTAAATAGTGGCACCACAGTAACTAACCTCCAGTCTTCTGGCACCTCACCTGTGGTTATCGATGATACAAATATCTCAGCAAGTGGCCCAGCAACCTCTTCCCTTGCTTCCCACAGAGTGCTAGAGTACACCTGATCAGGTCCCAGGGATTTATCTACATTTATGTGTTTTAAGACACCACCACCTCTGTAATATGGACATTTTTCAAGATGTCGCTATTTATTTCCCCACGTTCTATATCTTCATCCTTCTCCACCGTAAACACTGATGCAAAATACTCACTTAGTATCTCCCCCATCTCCTGTGGTTCCACATGTAGGCAGCCTTGCTGATCTTTAAGGAGCCCTATTCTCTCCTTAGTTACCCTTTTGTCCTTAATGTATTTGTAGAATCCCTTTGGATTTCCCTTAACCTTATTTGCCAAAGCTATCTCATGTCCCCTTTTTGCTCTCCTGATTTCCCTCTTAAGTATACTCCTACTGCCTTAATACTCTTCTAGGGATTCACTCTCTGCTATCTATACCTGACATATGCTTCCTCTTTTGTCTTGACCAGAACCTCAATTTCTCTAGTCATCCAGCATTCCCTCCACCTACCAGCCTAGCTCTTCACCCTAACAGGAATATACTGCCTCTGGACTCTTGTTATCTCATTTTTGAATGATTCCCATTTTCCAGCTGTCCTTTTACCTGCAAACCGCTGCCCCCGATCAGCTTTAGAAAGTTCTTGCCAAATACTGTCAAAATTAGCCTTCCTCCTGTTTAGAACTTTAACTTTTAGATCCAGTCTATGCTTTTCTATCACTATTTTAAAGCTAATGAAGTTGTTATTATTTTACTAAACTGATGAAAACTATGGAGTGATTTACTAAAGTGATTTCTATTCTAGTTCTACACAGTTACTAACATTGTACTGTTGTTTATTTTAAGTGTCGAACAGTTATTCTTCCATTCAATCTCATTTGTTCCTGGCCTGCTTTTTTTTTGGAGCTTGGTACTGTGGCAATCCACCAACAGTAATCATTTTACTCATTTGTTTGAGAGAATGGAATAGAATAGAAATGGGCACGGACACTGAGCTCCAATAAGGCCAAACCAATGCTTTATAAAGTTTCCCCATAACTTACTTTCTTTTGTACTGTATGTCTCTACTTATGAAGCCCTGGAACCTATTTGCTTTTATAATTGCTTTGTCAACTGGCTTTGCAATCTTCCATGATTTGTGAGCATTCATCCCAGGACCTTATGCTCCTGCACCTCACTTTAGAATTGTACGCTTTATATTTACCTCTCCTTGTTCTTCCTAGCAAAATGCATCAATTTGCATTCCTTGCATTGAATTTCATGCATCATGTGACCACCCATTCTCCCAGCCCCTCTACGTCCTCTTGACATCCATGATTAGCCTCCTCACTGTTCGCAATTGTGGTTTCGTTTGATGTGCAGATTTGAAATTGTACCCTGCACAACTATAGGTCATGAATAAGGAACAAGATAAGTAGTGGTTGTAATATAGGCACCTGGGGAACCATACTGTTGACCTTTTCTAAAATTGGTATGAATTAAAGGCCATATGACTGAAAGTAATGGTGTTGCTTTTGTCTGTCTTTCAGAACAGAAACACGAAGACGCATTGGTTTTTCTCTACCTGTGGATCGCCTGCTTGTTGATCAGCTCCTGTTACACTCTCACCTGGGATCTGAAGATGGACTGGGGTCTCTTTGACAAAAATGCTGGAGAGAATACTTTCCTGCGTGAGGAGATAGTTTACCCTCAGAAAGTAGGTGTTTAAGCAGCTTCATACACTACCCTCTATCTTTACTGGGTTAATAGATATTAATGGCAATGAAATGAGGGCCAACAATGCCATGGAACATGTTTTGTGCAGACTGATCTATGCCTAGATCTTCCCAATAATTTACAGCAATCCAAACTTTATGGGATATTCTTCCTGGGACATGTGTCTGTGCACACAGGAGAGGGCTGTGGTTGTGATACCGTTCTGCCACCCAATATTAAGATGGGTGGGAAAGGGAAAAGTAGGGTACAAATCGGCAGAAATTCAGGGCACCGTTTTCAGGCAAACGTTGGGCACCTTTCACGTTAATACGTTTACTTTCTGCAGCTACCACAGGTTTCTCCTTCCCTCATGTTTATTGTGCTTTAAATGGAAAGCGGACGATTTCCAAAGCTTCCCATTCCACATCCTATCTGAAAAGCCAGCTACTCTCATTCTGTTCACCCCAAGTGCTATCTCATGTACCACTTCCATGCCAGCACAAAATAGAGAGTTGCAGGCAGAGGCCATTGATGTCCTTTTCAGCACCAACACAAATGTGGTATAGAAGTTAACTAATAGCATTGGTATCCAATTAATAGCCTGCATGCCCAGGCAGTCCTGCTCCTGCTGCTTGTTCTAGTTGTTATCATGTGCCTGGAGGTTTGGAGAGAGCTATGTTAATGGAGTTGTTTTATTCGAGAATACATCCCCAATCACAACACTAAGATCTGTTAGTATCAGCAAGGTGAGCTAGAAATTTACAATAAAGAAAGAGGCCACTTATCCCTTCTAGTCTATCCTGGTGCTTATTGTTCAAGAACTTCCACCAACTTTACATCATCCCACCCTATTAACATTGGTTTTTCTTCCTTGCTCCCTCAGGTACATATCAAGCTTCTCTTTAGTTGAGTTTGTGTTATTTGTGCCAACCATTCCATGTGGTTGGGAGTAAAAGAGAGCATGGATTTGAACTGTGTGCATAACCCTTCAAGCTCTTTAGTTTGCAGTCATGATGCCAATAATAAGAATCCCAGATCACAGAATTGTTGCAGTGCAGAAGAAGCTTGGAGACTTTTACACTTGAAAGTGTTATGGTCTCACAAAAACACATTGGTTCCATCCTAAGGCTGCTGTTCTGACCTTAAGTCATCGCACCTTCCAACAGAACATCTGGTTCCCAACCACTTGCCAGTGTACATACCTGGAAATGTTTCTTTCTTATTGAAAGACTACGTCCTGATATTTTCTATTTTCTTTCCTGATACTGTTTTTTCACATCTGTAACTGATGTGCTTCCATACCTTCTACCAGTATACACTCTCTGAACCCCCACCCCCCGACAGCCGGTTGATGGACCTGCCTTTCATTTCTCCCTATCCTGCCATTGAGAATTTAATGTCGTTCTGCACAAAATGCAGTGGGGTCAACTTGACAAATATCTCTGATCAGGCTATGGTGTTTTCAGATTTGTTTTTGTTTCCCATTATATCCTGAAAGTATATTGAGGAGTTGATATTTCTGCTTTTATTCACAGAGTTATTACTACTGTGCCATTGTAGAGGATGTCATTTTGAGATTTGCTTGGACTGTGCAGATTTCTGTTACCTCAATGAGTACATTCGCTTCAGCAGGAGATATAATTTCTACAGTGCTGGCCCCACTGGAAGTCTTCCGGTAATATCATTCAAAACCTTGTGATGAATAAGTTGTTGATTAGTTAGGTGTGGGAGTGATGGACATGTAGCAATAATATTGGCTGAATGCAGGTTAGAACATTCTGATCTTCAGTCTACCTGGACTGTACCAGCAAAGAAGGGTACCAGGGAAAAGATATTAAGTGAGGCTACAAAACTTCTTTAAAGGTTTTATTTTTCTTCCAGAGCAGAGATTTTAAAAACCCAAGAGGCACTTGAAATACAATGAAGATAAAGAGTAAAAGTAGGGAGTTTAAAGCAGACAGCTTGTGAAGGACTGGAGTTTGAAATGGTTCTTGACCTCCAGAATGATCCTAGAATAGTCAGGGATGTGGCAACAAAGTGAGGATCCTGATTAAAGTTGTTAATTTCTTAAGTGTGTTTGTGATAGTTTTCTACAGCAATATATCCAAGAGCCAATTAGGGGACAGGCTGAACTGGATATTGTAACGACGAATGGGCCACATTTATTTAATAGCCAAACTATGCATGAAGATATATCCAGTAGTGATCATAATATAATTCAAGTTCAACGTAATGTGTGACAGGAAGAAACACAAGACAACACAAAAGATTCTAGATTAAGTTAAGGGTTCACTTGAATGAGGTCAGAGACTGTAAAGTGGGAAAATCGATTCATATTTAAAATGACAGAAGATCAATTGGTGGTGTTAAAATACAATAATCCCATGAAGAACCAGCTTATACCCTAAGTGGTAAGAGACCTGCTTGTCAAAAACAACGGCATTGGTGACTAATGAAGTAAGAGACAACATAAAACTAAAATTTAAAGCATACAAAAAAAGATCAAAAACAGCACAGATCCTGGTGATAGAGAAAGTTGTGAAGGGCAGCAGAACATACAAATATATGAATTAGGAGCACAAGGTGTTCAGTAGAACAGATAGTAAAATCTATAAAAAGGACATATGGAAAAATACTTGCAAACAATATCAAAATCACCACAGACTTTTTAACGATTATGTGCCAACTCACAGGGCAGTTTCTGTGGGTTTGGAGTCACATGTGGGCCTGACCAGATAAGAATGGCAGTTTTCCTTCACTGAAGAACATTAGTTTCATGGTCACATTCATTACTGATACTAATTTTCAATTCCAGATTTTTATTCCACCAGCTGCCGAGTGAGACTTGAACTTGTCATAGAGGAGTCTGGGTCTAGGGGATACTAGTCCAATGACATTGCTGCTGTACCATTGTCTCCCTGATAGATAGAAACTATTCCCATTGTCGGGGAGTCTAGGACCAGGGGACATAGTCTCAAGCAATTCGAGCCAGGCCTTTCAAGAGTGAAATTAAGAAACTGTTCTTTACGTGTAGAGTGGAATTTTGAAAATCATTTGCACGAGCATAGCTGACACATGATCAATTGTTAATTTTAAAACTGAGATTAACAGATTTTTGTTAACCAAAGGTGACATGAGATATTGATAGAAATATGGAGTTCTGTCACAGATTAATCATAAACCTCATTGATGGCAGAACAGGCTCCAAGGACAAGGTAGCTGCTCCTCTTCCTGTAATCCTAGGTCAAATGACACTGGACTGGCCAGATTCATCAATATGTGCATGCTAACCTACTAGGGATAGATTGTGTGTGGGATGGCTTTCTAATTAGGCTGCTTTGTGGGTGAGGAAGCATCTGAATTCTATTGATGAAAGCAGTGGTGTTACTGAACCTGCAATATTTATAGGACATGAGCATACAAATTAGAAGCCGGAATAGGCTATTTGGCACCTCAGACCTGCTCTACCATTCATTGAGGTCATGACTGATCTGATTACTCTCCATTCTCACCTTCCCTAATAATGTTTCACCCTTTTGTTTATTAAGAATCTATCTACCATTACCTTAAAAGATATTCACAGGCTGTGTTTCCACCACCTTTTATGAGAAAATGTTTATCCTTCTCTCAGTCTGAAATGAGTGACCCTTATTTTTAAGGGTGACTTCTAATTCTAGAGAGTTGGGAATTCACATTGGCATCTGATGGGTTGGGAAAGGAAATTTTCCCCAAGTGAAGAGTGTGTGTGAAGGCTGTGAGAGAGGATATGACATAAAGGAAAGGGAAATAGCCTCATCAGCAAGGGAGGCTTTAGAGGCACAGACAGGATGGGATGGGGAACACTAATCTTTCAGCATAATACTAAAATATTTATTATGCAAAATTATGTAACTACTTAGCTGGTCTCCCAAGAATTCATCACTGCCTAAACTCATATTTAGCAAAAAGTGCATTCACAATAAGACACGACTGTCAGCAAGCAAACAGCTCATGTTGAAAGGCATCTAATGCCTGTTTAAACTCAGCAGTGCACTGAATGCTTGTACGCAAGGTTGGAAAAGTATAATAACCAGTACAATACTACCCTCTCTGTAAAAGAGTTGGTACATACCACAACTGTTCATTTACCCTATGCTGAATTATCATACTGTGGGTGGAATGAAGGAGCTAAGGACCGGGTTTTGAGGATTATAGGTGTTCTGGGTGGCTGCAAGTAAAGCTGCGCCCAAAGATTTGAGCAAAAGCATCAATCACTTTGCAGTACCTTGCATATTGAGGTTGTCATCAATGCTGCTGCCCACTAACATTGAGTTGCGTTTTGCTGCAGGCGGTTTGTGTGGAATTTCTTCCGTTTGGAGAACGAACATCTGAACAACTGCGGTGAATTCCGTGCTGTACGTGATATCTCAGTGGCTCCCCTCAATGCTGACGACCAGACTGTCCTGGAACAGATGATGGACCTCGAGGATGGAGTGCGGAACCGCCAGAAAAACAGAGTTTGGAAACGCACTTATAGCATATCTCTGCGCAAAACACTGTACGTACTGATTTTGAGCTGCTCGCTGCTAGGCTGAGGGGCAACTGCAGTACCAGGGGAGATCAAAACGGAAAGCAATAACACTTTTGGAATACAATGAATGAACTGTCATTTATATTGTTTCACCTTTCACAACTTCACAATGTGATTTTTAGGCAATTAAACAGCATCACTGTTGTGAAATAGGAGACATAGCAGCCAGTTTTCACACAGCAAGATCCCACAAACAGTGAAGAAGTAATGACTAGACAATCTAGTTTTAGTACTGTTGAGGGATAAATAATTGACTGGCACACCAGAGCGAAAGGCCCTGGGTCACAAGGGAAAATTGGTGATTAAAGAATAGAGTTTGAAGTGGAAACAGCATGAGTGACTATCCAAAAGGTACTGACTGTGGCTGCAGTACAATACAGGAATCTTGTCATGCTCCATTATGCCACTCATACATAACCTGCCCGCATCATGGTGAAGGAGCATTTGCGAAGATTACGTTTTAGGGTTTCTCTCCTACCTCTGTTTATGCCCGATCTATGCTCATTTTAACAATGATTTCCTCCACCTGTTCCTGCAGTCCTTTTCCTACAAAACTGCTGATCACCCAGCTGCTCTTCCTGGCCCCCATGTTCGTTGTTACTAGTAACAATTCTCTTTTCTCTCTCTCCTTGAAATCTGTTACCATCACCTTTCTCAAACAAGTATGACCCTTTACCCCCACGTCCTTGCAAACTACAGCTCTGTCCTAAAATTTCTTCAATGTGTTTTTATGCCTCCCAAATCCTTGCCCATTTTTCTGAGAACTCCATTTTCGAATCCCTCCAAATGGATATCTGCGGTGACATGCATTCTATGTGACTTGATAAAGATAAACTTACCTTCTTCATCCTTTTTGATCCATCTACACACTCACACTGCTAACCACACCATCCTTCTGTTCCCCCATCACTTAACTGGGCAGAACTGCTATTGCCTGGTTCCATTTTTATATATTTCTTATGTAGCCACCTGCAATGGTTTCTCTTCCTGCTCCTACACTGGGTGTTCCCCAGAGATCTATCCCTAACAGCCAAATTTCTTATCTACACGCTGCCGCTCAGCACATCATCTGAAAACTCAGCATTTTTTTAACATGTATGCTGACAGCATCCAGCTCTACCTCCCCACCGCTTCTCTTGACTGCTGCACTGTCTTTAAATTGTTATGGTCAGAAATCACATGACACCAGGTTATAGTCCAGCAGGTTTATTTGAAAACACAAGCTTTCGGAGACTCAGTCCTCCTCCAGGTGTTAATGACAGAGGTAGTATCAGACACAGAAGTTAAAGTCAAAATACTGCTGCTCGTTCCTTACTCCCATCAAATTCTTGTTCTCATTGCTCCTGATCTTCCCAGTTGTGTAATGCCTTCGTTTTTAAAATTCTTACCCTTGATTTTAAATTCCTCCATAGTTCACCCTCTTTCTCTAATCTCCTCCAGGCCTGCAATCCTCCAAAGATATTTGCACTCCTTTAATTCTGGTCTCTTGGGCGTCCCTGATTTTAATTGTTCCATCATCTCTCTACTTTATTTCTTTAAGGCATTCCTTTAATACCTTTCTCTTAGCACAAGCTTTTGACCATCTGTACAAATATCCCTCTATGCAGCTATGTCAATTTCCCTGTGAAGCGCCTTGTGACATTTTTCCAAGTTAAAGGCCTTATATAAATACAAGTTGTTCTCTCTAACTGTACCTTCCCTTTTTTCCCTGCTCACTGATTGTTCATTTCTTCTCTGTCAGTTGCTTTGAGGCATGAGGTGCATGATTTACATTTAAAACATCACATCTTATAAGCTCACATTGATTGTGAAGTGCTTTGAATTGGGATGTGGAAAGCAGTATATAAAAGCAGGTTTTCAAGCTACACAAAGATGAGAGGGCATCAGCCTATTGTGCAAAACTGCAGATGCTACCAGACCTGCTGATTTTCTCCAGCACTCTGTTATTTCAGATTTCCAGCATGTACAATACTTTGCTTTTATCTACAAGATCTTTTTGTCCAGAATGTACAAGATTTATTCAGCGATTCCTTATCAAACAAAACAGTTTGATGCGTTCATTGTTTAGACTAAATACTTCTTGAAGTTTTCTTTGATTATTGTTTTAAAATATATAATTGCACCTTAAAACATAAGATTCAAAATGTTACTGCTTTTGTACTTTGCTTGTAAGTGTGAATTTTAATACACAGTTCATAGCATCTAGTTTGCATATGGACTGGCAGTAAGAGCTCTAAAGTTGGTCACAGTATTCCCAGTAAAGGCACAATGTTCAAACAGAGTTTACGGTGATGTTCAAAAGAAGCAAAAGTTGTGTAAGAAAGAAAACCTTTTTCAATCAGCAAGTAGTTAGGGTGTAAAATGCACTTCCTCAAATTGAGGCATTCGAGAAGGATAATTGTTGGAGAGAACTAGTGTGCAAGAGTACGGGGGAGCGGTGGTGGAAAGCAGGAGATTGGTACTGGGTAATGATGCTCATTTAAAGAGTTGGTGCAAGCATGTTGGCCTGAATGGTCTCATCCTGCACCATACAGTTCTGTGATTCTGTGTTCTTCCTGTAGGTTGCTGTCCAATGATTCCTTCTGCAAATTGTGACTATTTATGAACAACAGGGTAGATCAAGAGATAGTAGGAACTGCAGATGCTGGAGAATCCGAGACAACAAGGTGCAGGGCTGGATGAACACAGCAGGCCAAGCAGCATCATAGGAGCAGAGACGCTGACGTTCCGGGCCTAGACCCTTCATCAGAAAAGGGGGAGGGGAAGGGGGTTCTGAAATAAATAGGGAGAGAGTGGGAGGCGGATAGAAGATGGATAGAGGAGAGGATAGGTGGAGAGGAAACAAACAGGACAAAGAGGCAGGGATGGGGCCAGTAAAGGTGAGTGTAGGTGGGGAGTTAGGGAGGGGATAGGTCAGTCCAGGGAGGATGGACAGGTCAAGGGGGCGGGATGAGGTTGGTCGGTAGGAGATGGAGGTGCGGCTTGAGGTGGGAGGAGGGGATAGGTGGGAGGAAGAAAGGTTAGGGAGGCAGGGACGAGCTGGACTGGTTTTGGGATGCAGTAGGGGGAGGGGAGATTTTGAAACTTGTGAAATCGACATTGATACCATTGGGCTGCAGGGTTCCCAAGCGGAATATGAGTTGCTGTTCCTGCAACCTTCGGGTGGCATCGTTGTGGCGCTGCAGGAGGCCCAGGATGGACATGTCGTCTGAGGAATGGGAGGGGGAGTTGAAATGGTTCGCGACTGGGAGGTGCAGTTGTTTATTGCGAACCGAGCGTAGGTGTTCTGCAAAGCGGTCCCCAAGCCTCCGCTTGGTTTCCCTGATGTAGAGGAAGCCACACCGGGTACAGCAGATGTGCAGGTGATGTGGAAAGATCTGCTTGATGTGGAAATTTTTCTTGGGGCCTGGGATGGGGGTGAGGGAGGAGGAATGGGGGCAGGTGTAGCACTTCCTGCGGTTGCAGGGAAAAGTGCCGGGTGTGGTGGAGCTGGAGGGGAGTGTGGAGCGGACAAGGGAGTCACGGAGAGAGTGGTCCCTCCGGAAAGCAGATAAGGGTGGGGAGGGAAAGATGTCTTTGGTGGTGGGGTCGGATTGCAGATGGCGGAAGTGTCGGAGGATGATGCGTTGGATCCGGAGGTTGGTGGGGTGGTACGTGAGGACAAGGGGGATTCTTTTTTGGTTCTTATTGCGTGGACGGGATGTGAGAGATGAGTTGCGGGAGATGTGGGAGACACGGTTGAGGGCATTCTCGACCACCGAGGGGGGGGGAGTTATGGTCCTTGAAAAACGAGGACAACTGAGATGTACGGGAGTGGAATGCCTCATCCTGGGAGCGGATGCGGCGGAGGCGAAGGAATTGGGAATAGGGGATAGCATTTTTGCAGGAAGGTGGGTGGGAGGAGGAGTATTCTAGGTAGCTGTGGGAGTCGGTGGGCTTGAAATGAATTTCAGTTTCTAGGTGGTTGCCCGATATGGAGACAGAGAGGTCCAGGAAGGGTTTCACAAGTTTCAAAATCTCCCCTCCCCCTACCGCATCCCAAAACCAGTCCAGCTCGTCCCTGCCTCCCTAACCTGTTCTTCCTCCCACCTATCCCCTCCTCCCACCTCAAGCCGCACCTCCATCTCCTACCGACCAACCTCATCCCGCCCCCTTGACCTGTCCGTCCTCCCTGGACTGACCTATCCCCTCCCTAACTCCCCACCTACACTCACCTTTACTGGCCCCATCCCTGCCTCTTCGTCCTGTTTGTTTCCTCTCCACCTATCCTCTCCTCTATCTATCTTCTATCCGCCTCCCACTCTCTCCCTATTTATTTCAGAACCCCCTTCCCCTCCCCCTTTTCTGATGAAGGGTCTAGGCCCGGAACGTCAGCGTCTCTGCTCCTATGATGCTGCTTGGCCTGCTGTGTTCATCCAGCCCTGCACCTTGTTGTCTAGGGTAGATCAAGATCAGTGTTGCCAGAGGAGGTCATGCCTGACAATTGTTAGAAGTCTTTGAGGAGGTATCAAACAAGTTAGACGAAGGAGAGCCAGTGGATGTGATCTTTTTGGATTTCCAGAACGCCTTTGACAAGGTGCTGCACAGGAGGCTGCTGAACAAGACAAGAGCCCATGGTGTTAGGAGCAAGGTACTGGCATGGATAGACTGACAGAAGGCAGAGAGTAGGGATAAAGGGGTATTTTTCAGGATGGCAGCCAGTTCCTCAGGGGCCCATGTTGGAACTACAGCTATTCACGTTATACATATGAAATAATCTGGACAAAGGAACTGAGGGTATTGTTGCTAAGTTTGCAGATGACACAAAGATAGGTGGAGGGACAGGCAGTGTTGAAGAAGCAGGGAGGCTGCAGAAGGTCTTGGGCAGACTCTGAGAGTGGCAAAGGAGTAGCACATGGAATACAGTTTGAGAAAGTGAGGTTCTGCACTTAGGTAGGAAGAATAGAGGCATGGTCTATTTTCTAAATGGGGAAAGACTTCAGAAATCTGAAGCACAAGGGAACTCAGGAGTCATATTTCTTCAGGTTAACCTTCAGGTTCAGTTGGCAGTTAGGAAGGCAAATGCAATGTTAGCTTTCACTTTAAATGGCTAGAATACAAGAGCAGAGATGTTCTGCTGAGGCTATAAAAGGTTCTGGTCAGATGCATTTAGAATATTGTGAGCAGTTTTGGGCCCCATATCTAAGAAGGGATGTGCTGGCATTGGAGGGAGTCCAGAGGACGTTTACAAGAATGATCTTGAGGATGAAGGGCTTATCATATGAGGAACAGCTGAGGACTCTAGGTCTGTACTCGATGAAGTTAAGAAGAATGAAGGAGGATCTCTTTGAAACTCGAGGCCTGGATAGAGTGAGCATGGAGATGATGTGTCCATTAGTAGGAGAGACTAGAACCCAAGGGTACAGCCTCAGTATGAAAGGATTACCCTTTAGAACTGAGATGAGGAATTTCTTCAGTCTGAGGCTGGTGAATCTGTGAAACACATTGCTGCAGAGGGTTTTGGAGGCCAAGTCATTGAGTGTATTTACAACAGAGATAGATAGGTCTTGACTAGTGAGGGGATTAAGAGTTAGGGGAGAAGGCAGGAGAATGGGGTTGAGAAACATATCAGCCATGATTGAATGGCAGAGCAGACTCATTAGGGTGACTGGCCTAATTCTGCTCCTATATGTTATGGTCTTATTACCTGAGCACACTTTGTATGAGCAAGGAGCTTCAACACAGGAGAAGAGTTTCCCATTGAAGTACAAATGAACTTCTTGAACGGCATTTATCTGATACTCAAAACCATCAAATTCCTTTTCTTGCATCTGAAAATCCTGTCAATAGTCTGCAGCATGCCTATTAGTAGTCCATAAAACTAGTGTCTTGTATTCTGCAAAAATTCCTAATATTTGCATGTGCCTGTGCTACTTGCTAATTTGGAACAAATGTAGTCCATTTAGCCCTTTGAGTCTGTTCCATCATTCATTTCGCCCATGTGGTGCCAAGCTTTACATGGATGGTGGACTTGATTTGATATCCCAGCACTCATTATGGTTCACATTCAATATTCAGACATACCAGGAATAGGAATCGATAAACAATTCGCGTTTATTTTACTCAAAGGACCTATGTGATAGGATTAGGAGATAGCAAGAACTGCAGGTGCTGGAAGTCAGAGATAACATAGTGTGGAGCTGGAGGAACACAGGTCAGGCAGCATCAGAGGAGCAGGGTAGTTGACCTTTCAGGTCAGGACCCTTCATCAGGACTCAGGGTTAGGGCTTTTGGATTTGAGGTCCTGCATCTAATGTATGGCAACAACATAACTGCCACCTTATTGGTCTCGGTGCAGTCAGCATTGGTCACTTTAAATATAAAAACAAGGAGCCTTCACCTATTTCAAAACCCTTCTGCAGACTGGCTAAAGAACTTATTGGGGAATGCACTGCTACCAGTTTACTAGTTGTGACAGCCAAAACAGCTGCTTAAAAATAGGAGCAGAAGTGTTTGTTTTAAATTTCCTCCTGTATGGACTGTGGAGAAGCAAAAATGCTCTTCGTAACACTGCCACTGACCCATACTTGATCTTTCCACAGCTCACATCTCCAATGATTGGAGCTTATTATGCTTCCTGAATTTATTAAGAATCCTTGGCCTCCATCCTGGCCATCTACCAACGGAAACAATCTTTCACTATTTAGTCTTTATAAAGTACCTAGGTTTTATTCAGGTGTAATTCTACTAAGCTGTTGAAGCAGCATCCAGGAGATTTATAGGAGCACAAGACATAAGAGCAGGACTAAGCCATTGGCCCTCTGAGCTTGCTCTGTCATTTAATGTGAATATGGCTGACCTTCTACTTCAATTCCCTCTTCCTGTATTATTCCCGCAATGCAGAATTCCCATCGCGTCCAAAAACCTATCTATCTCTAAACTTGAATGTAGTTGACAAAACTTTCTGGGCTAGAGAATTGCAGCAATTCACAACCCTTTGTATGAATTTCTCTATTTTCTTCACCTCGGTCCTAATTGACTGACCCCTTATTCAGAGAAAGTAACTCCTTACTTCCAGAGTCTCCAGCCAGGGAAAGCATCCTCTCAATATCTGTTCTATCAGGCCCTTTAAAAATGTTATTCTTTAATAAGAACACCTCATGTTCTTCTTAATTCCAGGGAATTTAGGCCCATTTTACCATACCTTAAGCACAGCAAACTATAGGATGCATCTATATTTCAACTCATATGTTTGACACTACTGTGTTAGACTATTGTTGTTTGGTATCTAATCTCCATTTACCTGTTTTTGCTCCAAAATCCTAATGAGTGCCCTAATCTAGCTAAGATATATCTATCCTAGTTTTCTTTATTTTAATTGACTCCCAGCATCCACAGCCTTTTGGGGGAGAGAGTTGCAGATTTTCACTACTTAGTGTGAAAAAGTACTTTGTGATTTCCCTTCTGGATGGCCTGTTACTCATTTTAAGCTAGTGTTCCCTTGTTCTGGACTTCCCCACCAGAGAAATAGATTCTCTGAATTTCCATCTTGTGTTTTGGTTTCTGCCTCAACTGCATTGCCAAAGCACGCATAACTTTGCAAACGAGGAAGTTTTCTGTGGGACAAGATACAAAAGAGCAGCAGAGTTCAATTGTTACAAAAGTCATGCGCAGCTGTGAGAGCAGTGAGGTTCAGATCAGAGAAACGGTCGTCAAAAGCTGAGAACTTAAATTGAATTTTGGTTTGATTTGTTGTTGTCACATGTACCACGGTACAGTGAACAGTATTGATTTTGCATGCTATCCAGGCAAAAATCATACTTTACGTAAGTATATCCGGGCAATAGAACAAAATGCAGAACGTGATATTATAGCTACATAGAAGGTGCAGAGAAAAATCAACTTTAATATATGGGAGGTCCATTCAAAAGTCTGATAACAGCAGGGAAGAAACTGTTTGTGAACCCTTCTGCAGACTGGCTGAAGAACCTGAGGAAGGGTCAGCGGACCCGAAACGTTAACTCTGTTTTTTCCTTCACAGATGCTGCCGAGCTTTTCCAGCAACTTTGTTTTTGTTCCTGATTTATAGCATCTGCAGTTCTTTCGGTTTTTGTTTCTGTTTGTGTACCTGTTGGTCTGTGTTTTCAAACTTTTGTATTGTATAGAACTTACAGTAGCACTGTTGGGAACTCTGTGCAGCAATCTAATCTCTCCTATTCTGACAAAAAAAGGACATTGGGAAAAATGTGATAGTGATTTGCAAGGATAATACCAGAACTGAAGAAAGACTCAACAGGTTGGATCTGTCTTTCCTTAGGAAGCATCTTGATAGAGGCAGTAAAATTCTCAACACTGTTGATAGGATAGTTGTAGAGTAGATGTTTTCACTTGTTAGGAAGTTCAAAACTATGAGATATAAGTCACTAATATATCCGATAGAGAATTCAGAATGAACTTATTTATCCAGACAGTGGTAGTTAGCATCCAGTTAGCATGAAGAACTCTTTACCATATGGAGTAGCTGAATCAAATAAAATTACATACTTAAAGAGAAGCTAGCTAAGTACATGAAGGAGAAAAGAGTAGAAGGATACACTGACACGGATGAAGAGGAAGTTGATGTGGAACATAAACATTTGGTGTTGGGTTGAATGGCCTGTTTCTGCACTGTACATTCCGTGTAATTCTGTTGAGAGGGTGGAACGACGAGAACATTGTGGGAATTTGATTGCTGTTGATTCTTACATTGAGCTGTTTGTGTCCCACAGAGTGAGGCCTCGTGACGCAGCCGTGTTAATCGAAGACACAGATGATGAAGCGTACACATGAAAGTCAGCACCGAACAGTCATTGTCCTTCACACGTTCCAGTTCTACCAGGCACTGAACACAATCTGCCACTCTGCGTGGCAACAGACTCAATTCCATTTATCCCCTTTGATTTAATATATTAATTTAAACTGATATTAAAAAAAGCGGTGTCAAGAACAATTTTACAAACAACAACAAAACATATCCACAAGGATCAAATCAAACAGAACAGACTCTGTGCTGGAAAATACCGATTTTTTTTTTTTTTTTTTTGTTTTTTTTTGTTCTGTCTTGTATTTTTTTTCTTCTCTCTCAGGCTCAGTATAGCTAGGGCTGGTTTAAGCTGGTTTATTCACATCATTCTGACCAGCTCATGGCCTTGGTTGCACTTGCAGGGAAAGTGCACTTAATTGTACTTCCTACGTGAAGTTATTGTGTTTAAAAAAAAAAAAAGATTCATTTTGATATGTATTCGTTCTGTTCCGATTGGAAATGTTCATATTATTTATGAAAGAAACTTGTGTCCTGTATGTTAATGCAGAAGTTAGTGTCAATGTTTGTTGAACTTTTATTTTGTGTTTCAGTCAGCGGTTAGCTTTCTCTTGCAAGAAAGCAAACCATCCTTATTAAGAGCACTTCAAAGCTTTCTAGGTGGTAGTTCCTGCAGAGCTGTCAAACACAGAAGTCCTGCATCCAACACAGACCACCAGGCTACATTCCACTGGCAAAGGTTACCCATGACAGGCTGGTTTCTTTACAAAACTATACAGGTGCCACAAAATGTTTGTAGTTCTTATAACTCAGATCTACAGCCAGTAGCATCAAAGACTGGTGCAAAGAAATGATCTATTGTCTATCAAAGAAACTTTGCTGTTTACATATCCCAGAAACTGGATGGGAAGTTTCATAGAAAATTCAACAAGTGTAATCCGTTCATTTTTTTTCTTGACTAAAGTTTGAATGTCAAGTGATGGATTTCCTCGCGCATCTATTTAATCTGTCATCAGTGAGATTTCCATTTTGCTTTTCATTTCTTTGTACCATTCCTGCAAACTGCCACCATCTTCTATGTGCCCAGCCTACCATGGTGTCTGGCATGTTGATTGGTGCAACGGGGATTTTTCTTGGAACTGTTGGTGCCAATGTTCTAGAAGCTGCCGTTCCTCTCTGTTCCCTAGAATAGTGCATGCTAACATTTCTCCAGTTACTTAGGCTCATGACGGTTTGAGTGATACTTTGCCCCCATGGGCAGATGTTTCAGTGGAGCCACCTTAAGGTCCAGTTCAATCAGCCAATACCAAAGTCAGTGGAGAGATTTCAATGCAGTAGGTTGTTTTGAAGAAACATTGTTCAGCTACCTGGGCCAATGGCCGGCTGCAAGCTACAGGATCTTGACTTTGTTGATGTGGCAAGTCAGTGTGAAATAGTGTAGTAATGAATTTGGGAATTGCTCATTGATTACTCATGTCATATTCTAAAAGTACCTTCTAATAAGGATTCTCTTCTGGCATAGCTTTAAGAGGGCTCCATTGTAACAAAGAACTCATGATCCTAGACATGCACAAAGGAGGGCAGGGTAAGAACTGGCCCAGGCATGGACATTAAGTCCCCCTCTGTCTCTTGGCTGAGCCTGATAAACAGTGGTTTACAATTTGTTGCAGATGCCAAATAGTGGGGGAAGACTTTGATGCCAAGGAGCTGTGAGTTTAGCTCATGTGGATGCAGGACTGCCTTCCATAACAGAGTGTAGCCTAGTACAATCACTTGGAATTGGAAGTTAAAGCAAATGCATGAGCATTGGATATGATCAAAGTTTTTGATGAATGACTCATTCATAGATAAAATAATGGCAAAAAATCTTTCACTGGTACAAATTCACGATATTCACCCTTCCTTCATTTGCAGCAGTCACATGTTTTATACAGAATTTCACATTCCTGTTGCCTTCTGTTAATAAAATGTACAGAAAATGGTTGAGATTCAGTCGTATTGTAATACCTGCTGAGGAATAGGGAGAAAAAGGACACTAGATAGCTAGGCCAAACGTGAACTTTTCCGTGAATGTGGAAGCTCAATTAACATGCTTCGGGCAGTTCCACAGTGCCAGTATTGGCACCCTCCACTATCCCTTTTATATCATGGGACCACTTCCAACGAAAGTGCTTCCACAATAGGGTGCGTTATAGTTATTGCTGCATCTGACCTGTTTGATATGTGGGGGCAGATCCAGCAGTAGACAAAGCATCCAGTCACGTTTGTGTATCTGACCTCATCTGAATATTGGGCAAAGCTTCATATTACTGAGCACCAGGGCAAGTGAGGGCTGAAAGTAGAATGCAGTGTAATTTCCTATAAGTAATACGATGGAGCAAAGATAGAAGGAATCCCTTACCTGAGTTCAGTCTTGAGAAAGCTAGCTAGGGAAGTAAATAGATTTGCGCTTGCATTGTTTGTGATACTGTGTTAGATAACCAATTTACAGTGCACTGTCACCAACACTAGAGTTGAGTTTCAATGAAGCCCTCTATAACCAGTGACAGAATTAATACATTACAAGTGTACATTACTTGATTCCACTTTTGTATTTTGTAGCAATTAGGGTAAAATCCAGTTCCATAGCCTAATGCTGAACTAAGCTCAAATCAAACCTAAATCAAAAGTTAAAAAATGAACATTAAATCCAGTTTGCAAAATATCTTTCAGGGAATATTTTCATATTTTCTCTTCATAATTTTAATCTGGGGTCAATTTTCTAAATGGAAATGTGACAAAGATTGTTTAGCTTTCACTCAGAAACTCTGAACAGGCATTGGCTATTTCCTGTTTTGAATTGGGCTAGCATTTGCTGAATATTTGATAGTCCCATTCAATCTTCTGACCCCCCATACACGCATAAAAGACAGCCAACCCTTGCAGCCTCACTAGCTGAAAATACATGGCTCTGTAGTTGGCATAGGTGTAATTCTGGTGAAGGAGAGCAGCAGATGAAGTGTAGATATTTGAGTAGCTACTCAAACATGTGTTCCATCTCTTTACCTCCTTTATTGGTTCCTCACAGAGACAGGATATAATTGGATTAAGGCATTGCCTTCATTGCTCGCTCTGCAAAACCACCCAATACCTCAACTCATCTTGCTTGCAGGAGAATTTCATTGTGATCTTTGAACAAGGAAATCAGGTGTAGGATGTCTCCCTTCTTTTGCAGTTAGTGTACAACAGCACAAAAGGATAACAGTATTTTGTATATTTGATGAAAAGGTGGCACAGGCTTGCTTGAAGCCACTGAATGTTCAGTCCACAGCATAAAACTGGAGAATCCCAGAGGTATTTTTTTAAAAAACTTAAACACAGAATCAAATCCATGAGCATTCAAGACTTCTGACCTTGGACAGTGCAAAAGGCCATAATCTCTGGCCCATTCTATTAAACTCTCCCACCTCTATAACCACTGCCTGGCCCATTCTATAAAACCCTACCCTCTCTATAACCTGTGTCTGGCCCATTCTAAAATCCACCCCCTTCCATAACCAGTGTCTGGACCATTCTTATAAACCCTGGCTCCTCTGTAACCAGTGACAGACCCATTCTGTAGAACTTTCTTCCTCTGTAACAAGTGAATGACCCATTTACAAACCCTTGTCCCTCTATAACCAGTGACTGGCCCATTCAATAGACCCTTGTCCCTCTGTAACCTGTGACTGTCCCATTCTATAGACCCTTGTCCTTCCATAACTAGTGACTGACTCATTCTAAAGAAGTTATAGCTTTTTATTTATATAATGTTTGAATGGGTCATTGCTTTTGAGACTCCAATGTTTGGTCAGAAACTTGCTCCTATAAGCTCATAGGCTACTTTTCCCCAACTGTCATCATACAGTCCATATATTATATTCCTGATCAATGACAGAATGGTCATTTAATTCACTACACACTAGATTCTGTCACTGACTGGAAAGTCCTGTTCTGGATTGGGCTATCATTTGCTGAAAATTTGACAATTCCATTCAATTCCCACCCTCTCACAAATAAAAGCCAGGCAACCCTTGCAAACTCACTAGGTAAAAAGAACAGCTATCTATATAGCCTAAGTGTAATGCTGCATGTGATAATGGAGGGTAGCAGATGAGCTGTTGAAATTTGAGTGGGAATATTCTGGATATTGGAAGAAACATGTAAAGTGACAGTGAGTGACCGTTCTAGAATTATTTATAAAGGTATGAAATTACTCGGAGGTATTTGACTGTGTATTGACCCCAGATGACCTTGATTTTCCTCCTGTAACATGCCAGTGCTGCACACTAGAGGGAGGAAGCTTTGAGGCTGTGATAGCGACACCAGAAGGTAAGTCTGTCCAATTACCAATCAAAAGTTGTCTCATTTTTAAAAGGAGTCTCCATTTTTTTTCTCCCAACTTTTGCCATCCACTGGTTTCCCCAAACAATTGGGTAAGCCTTTCACCCTGAAAAGAAACAAAAGCAAGAGGCATTGGCTTGCCTTGGCCTGTGAGCAGTATCAGATTCAGCACTAGATCCTGCTGAAGGGCATCTCTAACCTCACCTCTGGATGCAGGAGCCCACTATTGCCTCGAGTTAATAGGGAGAACAGTGCACTATCAAAACCCAGTCTAAAAATCAAAGTCTGCTGAAATAAAGGATGTCTTCTGCTGTTGGCATTGTAGAGTTGCAGAGATGCAGAGGCATAAAGCACAGAGATGTCTACGGTTCGGATCATTCCATCACACCCAGCACAGTGGCAAATAAGCTTGGGAATGTGGAGATTTCATCCCAAAACATCAATGTTCTTGCAGTTCCCCATACAGTTAATCTAACAGGGGATCTCACAATGTTGTTATCAGTTAGTTAAGTGCCAACCCGTCTCATAACCTAGCCCAAAGTGTAACTCCCTGAAAAGACAGTGGGCAGTTGAGCTATTCTTTACCTAATATTGATTAAGTGAAAGTGTGTCATTGTGTAAGTGAAAGCTATGGATTACAGTTTTTGCGGACCGTGTGTGTTCCTACATTTGGTCCCACCTCCTCTTTTACAGGACATCGACAATGAGCATTTTCAAGCTGCTGCTGTTTGGTCCATGAACAATTGAGTTCATTTGTGTAACTGAGCTACACAGAGTTGTATGCGATCATAATTTCCTGTGCAGCCAACTTGTCAATTCATTTGCAGAGTAATTAATACACCCGTGACACCAGTCTTGGAGGGGAAAGCTATCACAATTATGGCCAATTTAAAAACCTAACTGGCAGAAAGCTCAGAGACCGGTCTTTGTTGCATGACTGGCTATTTCAATACAGTGTGGGGCTGGAGGAACACAGCAGGTCAGGCAGCATCAGTGGAGCAGGAGAGTCAACGTTTCGGGCCTGAACCTTTCATCAGGACTCCAAGCCCGAAACATCGACTCTGCTGCTCCTCTGATGCTGCTTGACTGCCTGTGTTCCTCCAGCCTCATGTTGTATTTGACTGGCTGTTTTACTGCTTTATTCTGTGATTCAGTTTTACAGTTTTTAACATGCTTAGTTTCAGAGAGTCTGCTGAGAAGGTCCTTCCTTCTCCCATGTAAACCCTTGTGCACCAGAACCATGTTCTCAGAGTGTTCAATTACTAATGCTGCCAAGCCAAGAGTCACCTGGAGAACTAATCCTTTGTGTCCCTCCAGAAAAGTGCTTGGGCTCAATATGTGGCTTCTGTTCTCTGTCCCCGCCTCCTGGAATGTGAAACCAGGATCAACTACTCCCATTTGGTGGGGCTGTGCAAAGTGATATTAAAATAAAACTGTCTTGTGCAAATGTCCCAGGTTTCTGAGCTGCCTGGCCTTTTTAACCTCAGTCATTAGCCTCTGACAGCTGAATCATATTTGTTGCATTGTCTTAGGAAATGAACTAGTCTGAAAAACTGCAAAAAAAGGAGTTACTAATGAAACAGCGAGTCTGATCTGTAAATGTTCTGAAGCTGGTTCTATTCAGATTGTAGCCTTGCATTTTCAAGCTGCTTTATTGTGCTACATAGATGGCTAAAGACTTGAATCTTGCGAAGAGCAGGTTCAGTGATGTTCCCAATAGTGACCCACATCTTTCACCTCTGGTGATGTTGCCACAGTCTATCAACAGCTTTTGAGGTGCCTGACTTTTGACTTTGTTATTTGTCACCTCTACTCCAAACATTGCTTTCATTTCACCAGATGGAAATATCCTGGGGGGGGACATCTGCTTTTCTTGTGTCCATTGCTGTTGACGAAAAAATTGTGGAATTTTAGTTTGTCTTGTTTGGGTAATTATTGGCTATAGTTTGTCACTAGCTCGAGAGTTATACATATCTAGACTTCACCAATGTGGCAGTATTTCAGAGCTATCATTTTCCTCATGAATCTGTTGCCTTTGACAATTTTCCGTTAAGTCAAGAAACAATCATCCTGATAGATCAAAATTACTTTCAGCTATACTGCGATGGAACAATTACCAGCAGCACTTTACCCTGAGGGAACTGCTGATGCCCTGTACTTTATCTCCTCCCTCCCTCTAATTTATATTGGGATCAGCAATTTATAATTTTTTTAATGCACAAGGTGAATAGAGGAATGAAAAGCTATATAATCACTCAACATCTGGGCTCTGAATGTACAGCTAGCTGGAAGCTAATAAATAAAAATAGGCTCATTGAAAATGAAAGAAAGCAGGAAACAGGTTCATCAGATCCCTATTGAACACAGGTCCACAGCACAGAAGCACCCACAACCTAGTATTAGACTGGCACAGGAGATTTGAGAATTGGAAGGAAGGGGCGCATTTCGGAGGTTGCGATTAAACCACATAGTTAAGTCTGCACCTCTCTTAATAAAACTTGTGGATGCGACTTGGTTGCCTCTTCTAAGAAGTAAAATGCAGCAACTAAATTGAAAGGATTTAGTAGGGAAGGAGGCCACATTCTGACACCAGCCATTGCGACAATGGCTGTTAATTTG